GTGACCAAAAAAAAAAAAAAAGATAATTCTGCTACATGATAGTTTACGTTGCTTTTGTCTCTCAGTGTCAACATTTTCACCTCTGAGAAATACGGGACACTGACAGAACTCTATATCTTCTCCTACCAAATGCAGCATGACTATATATCATGTAATAACTCTTAAAAACTATTATTGCACTCTGTGTACATTATTGTAGACATTCATTAAGCATGCTTCTGATCTACTCACAAGAAAAAGTCAGTAAAGAATCTATGAGTGGTTTTGCACTGGGAGATTAACATGGACATGTGCATGAACCTCCTCCTCACTAACTCCGGGGAGACACAAGGCTTTTAGTGTAACCTGTCTTTAGCCCTAGAATGAGTAACTTGGATCACTCTTAGGATATAACTGCATACAAAGAATAGTCTCTCTAATTGAATCCACACAGATATAGCAGAAATGGCTCTTAAAGAAATCTTCCTAGGAAGAATGATTTATTAATAAGAACTTAGGATCAGTCCTGGTTTCATAAGCATGGCAACAAAAAAGAATTTCAAGGAAGAATTTGAGGAATAGCAAGGGAAAGAGACACTTAAGGAAACTCTTACTGATGAATGGAGCAGACAGCACACTAGAAAGAAAGGACCAGAAACAGGATTTTAAAGCTATGGAACATGACCACATTTCCATGTATGCAATACTTGCATCATACGATGCCTGACATCATACAATGCTGACACATGAAATTCTGAGTCTCATAAAAAAAAAAAAAAAAGTAAAAATTCCATTTTGGCAGCCATTGTGCTGCCCATCTATAGCCTGATACACGCTGTGACCCTCAGCATGGAAACACCACTGCCAGACCAAGGCATGGCTGTTGGTGCTGGTGAAAGTGAGGGATTTTGCCTTATATAGCTATCTGGATGCCACTTTCTTCACTCAGCACTTCTCACAGTTCTGTATCAGAGATGCCCCATCTTCACAGCTCCATGACTGAATGTAGAAGGAGTCCTCTATGAACTACCCAATAATTATTTCAAGGTTCAAAGAAATTTTGAATAAAGTGACCAGATGTGCTGGACTCTCCCCAAAATGCTGGGTTTTATTTTGCTGTTTTTGCAAGGTGTCACTGTTCTGTCTGATTTTCTTACAGAGCACCACTCTTACCCAAAGATGAGCCGAACTGCACACTTACTTAAACAGGCATAAAAAAGCCATGTCTGCCAGTGTGGAAATGCCTCAAATGTTCTAAAACAGTGATGTTTCTCTTTATTGGGAACTCCTAGGGAAAATGCAGAGCGGTTTTTGAAGTAGTGCACAGGTAAGGAGTCTGATATTTTCAGGAAGAGACAGATTCACTTTGTATGCACTAAGAAATGTGGCAGAAGAAATTGATATGTCAGTTTGACAACTCATTCCTGGATTACCTGGGAAGAACACATGCTCTACTATGCTCTATTATATTTTGCACACTGTGGTACATTCACAGTGGACATATCCAGCAGGATGGACTCAGTGATTACTCAATCTTGGCTTCTTTCAGCCTGGAAATCCTGGGTTAATGTAAAAAGTGCTCCCCTTTCAGTGAGAGGGGTTTCCAGACGGAATGAAACAGGACACACCTGGGAAAACCTGGATGCAGGACAGCCACAGAACACTGACACATTTTAACTCAGAGCAATAATTTAGATACCCACGTCAGCAACCTAACTTCGCTACAAAGTTGATAGGAAGAAGTAGGTAGTACTTTTGGTCTTGTCTTCTCTTTTTAAGGATTGTTGCTTCTCCCATTTTTATGCCATTCCTACTAATACATCCCCTCACAGTGTCACAGAACACAAGAGAATTATATCCTGTAAACAACTTCAACTGTATTTTTATTTCTATATAAATCTCTGTATATATGCTCTCCCTTAAAAAAGTCAGTTGTGATCTGTTGTTGGTTTTACAAAAATGTTAGTCTAACTTATTCTCTCTCAAATTTTTTTTATTTATCTGACAGTCATTCCCTTCTTTTCTGGGATTCCATTGCTCCCAATGGAATATAGCTTGGGCAAACAAACAAACAAACCACAAAAAACCACCCCCAAAAAACCCCAAAACCCCTCCCCCCCCCCCCCCCCCCCCAAAAGAACCAAACCTACCAAAAACCAACCACAAAACCAAAGCTATTTTCATTAAGGGGAGTTTAAAAATTTATACTAAGGGGGTACCAATAAAGTAATCATGTCACAAAACGACTTATGAAGAAGTGTGCTTTGGAAAAGACAAAAGAAAAAATAAATCAGCATTAGCAGAAGATACATTCTATCTGAAAAGAAAAACAATAAACAATCCAAGAATTATATTTCGGATGCAATACATTTGCAGGGACAGAAAGAGGGAGAAGAAATCTGCAAACTTGGCTGATCTTTGGGGAGTTAACACAACTTAATTTTATCTAATCCGTATTAATTCTTAATTCTACAATTTAGACTAGTTCCAAAGTTATTTAAGGCCTTTAACATCACCAGCCAGTGTATGCCAAAGAGTGCTAAAGATAACTGGGGCCTGATCCACACTCTTTGGCTGTGTCTTCTAGTATTTCCATTCAGGAACTCCTCTTCCTTAATTTCGTTTAAGCCTGCAACTGCCAGCATCTCCTCTCGCCTGAGACACCATTTCTTCTTCCCCAGTCCTCAGATACACTAAACATCCTTCTTTTTCTTCCTCTCATTTCTTTCTCTGCAGAGAAACATCCATCTCCCTAACAGCTAACAGCAGCCTCCACTCAAAAGCTCTGAGTTCTGCTCTCTTTCCCTCCATCCTGGCTTTCTCCTTAATCTCATTCCAGTTTCTTCCTATGTGCAGTTTCACTCATTCAACACTTGTCTCCAGCAGCTTTAACTCATTCTCACATATATGGCTGTCAAACCCAGAAGCTCTGCTTGTCTCATTACAGGCAGAACTGTGACTTTTAAGATCTGGTCCCACAGACTTTAGTAATTCATAGCAGCTCTTTTTTTAATATAAGCTAATAAAAACATTTTATAAGTTCATCAGTACATCAATCTGTGTAACAAATAGTAGAAGATTCAATGTGACAAACAGGATTACAGTGTGAAGAATACGACTGCCAGAAACCCACCCCCAATCACTCAGGTGGTGGTGCTGCTTCCCCCCCACACATACTCTGTGCAAACACACTTGCCCAGAGCTGCTGTCCCTGCAAGGAGCAAGCCCATTCCCAGGTGCCTATGCCAAACCAAGTTTCTATGAATACAAGTGGTGACTTGATCCAGGCTAAAGTTAGCTTTCACCCTTCTTCTCTTTTGGGGTACTGATTAGTTTAAACGAGTAACTTTCCATGCAGTTCACCACAAAACTATAGAAAGACCTGTGCTGGCCAAGGGAAGGGAGTGGCATACGGGTGGAAAATGGGATAAATATTTTGGTGGCAATGCTGTTCTAATTTTTTTCATGGAAACATGACCAAACTTCCTCACTCACATTCACTGTGGCTTTTCATCTCCTGCACAGCAACCACCTTAGGAGCTGTTAAATCATGGAATTAAGACTTCCAAGCAGGCAAATTTGCTCTTCAAGAGACTTGGGGGAAAAAACAGCATGTCGACATTCAAGCAGCCATGATCAGACCACATCTACTAAACAAGGTAGCTCAAACACCTCTTCAGTATGCCCCTAAAATTAATGCCTCAGACTTCAGTCTACAAACAAGAACATGAAGGAGAATGAATTAACCTATGCTACAGCTAAAGCTCAGGTATTACGCTACACATACTACAGCACAACTTTATAAAAATAGGAGTCATACCACAACGGCTGCTTTTTTATGTCAACTGATCCCAGTGATTTCATTACCAGGCTTAAACCACCTGCATTATCATCAGCCTGCTCTGGTTTCAGCAGCACACGGTAATATTATCACCCATTTAGTGCTACTCAGCAGAATGATGTTTCTATCAAAACATGGCAAAGAAAAGTAGCACGTGACACTGGAGGTCCTAGCTGCTGTCCCTTCTCATGGGGCTTGGGGTCCCCAGCCTGCCTACACTTGCTCAGCCATGATGTAAAGACATCAAGGAGCCACGCAGACCAACGGGTAAGCTCTGCGTGCCAACTGCACATGTGGCACAACCCCTGCTGCAGAAGCCCTAACATTTCCCACTGCTTAATTATATCATCTTACCATGAAGGTGTAACTACATTAGATATCTGGAAGAAGTGCAGTCATAAAAAGGGGATGAAAGTTACAGACAGTAGGATTGAAATCTAAGTAGGGTAGCTTAAGAAAAAATGTAATCAAGGTCCCATTTGCCCATGACCACGAAGCTTTACCCATATGTTGGTGGTTGACAAATGCAGCCACAAGGCCTGATCCAAAGCGTACTGCCATTAATGACAATTTTTCCATTAAAATACAGTTAAGCTTTGCAACAGGCAAACGTTGCACTCCCATATACGTTATCTCTCACCTCTTTCACATCCCTGTGATGATGACCCCAGCCACCTTGACAGCACCTGACTTACCTATTTTGGTTTTACCAATTTAACTTAAACAATTTATTTATAAACATGCTTCTATTTGTGTAAGTAATAGCCATAACATCAGCTTCTCAGTCCTCAGATAAGGTCTGTACTTCACTGAAGATACTTAATTTGCAGGTTTACTTCTCCAAAGTACTCTCTGTTATCTATAGCACTGCATTTGCTTTTCTGACAAAAAAGAAGCAGCTGTGGGGCTTGCTTCACTATTGCTTTAACAAATTACCCAATCTGAGCAAAAGTAACAGTGGAATACTTCAAACAACCTGTCACTGGAGCCTTACGCTTCTCTGCTAAACATCATGTTGTTGAAGGCAGTTATCTGTAAGGCTTGCAGAGATGATTTGTCGGTTGTTTCTTTTAATGGCATGATAGATAAGCCATCTGGCAAAGTTCCTCACTTTCTGGTACCAAGGAAACTGCTTTTTCCTCCTCTCTCCTTCATAAAAATCATAAGGCATTTTACTTACGGCATCCACTCGGCCAGCTGACAGCACGACTTCCATCAGGACCAGCAGAAGCCCCAGATCCCTGCAGGGAAAGGTGAGTAAGTACGATATTATTGTTTTAAACCAGCCCAAAACAAGCACGTGACCAAACTCCGCCGCTGAAGGTGACAATACGACTTTTAAATAGTTATTTTCAAAAGCCTACCCAGCAGGATTACTTACTGACAAACAAAAATACGTGCGCAGGGAAGCTGCGAGATGTCCATTTTCGCTCCTTCTCTGCCCGGGGGCTCGTCTCAGGGCTTCCTCCCGCCAGACGGCAGCTCCTGCAAGTCAAAGAAGAACCCTAACATAACGCCAGTCCCAACGCCGGAGGTCTCCGGGCTCGGGACGCTGCTGCCGGGGTAAGGAGCGGGCCAGCCGGTCTTGGGGGCAAAGGGGAGGGGGAAGGAAGGGTGTTGCGCCGCAGCCACCCGCGGGAGCCTGGACACCGACGGGAGGGCAGCGCCCGCGCCCCAGCTCCTTCCCAGCCCCAGCCCCAGCCCCTTCCGCCGCCCGGCCCCGCGCCCGTTCCTCACCGTTGCGCGCCGCGCCGCCGTGCCCTCTCGGGCGGCAGCGGCGGTGCGGGGCGAAGGAGAGGCGCGCCTCCCCCCTCCGCCCGCCCCCTCCCGCCACCCACCCGCGGCAGGAGCAGGAGGAGCAGGAGGAACTGCGGCCAGTGGGGAGCGGAGCGGGTGAGGTTGCGCCCTCCCAGGCAGGGTCCCCGCCCGGGGGGAGGAGAGGGGGCTGCCGCCGCCCATCGGCTACGGCGCGGCGAGTCCCTCACCCCCGAGGCATTAGAGGCGCCGAGGCCGGCACGGAGGGGAGCGGAGGGGAGCGCATGTGGGGCCGGCACCGCAGAGCCCCACACTGAGCCGCCGGCGCAACGCCGCTCCAGGGACAGACGGCGCGGTGCGGTGCGCGGCAGCATGCGGCTCTGGCTGGGCTTCGGGCTGCTGCTGAGCGCCGAGCTCAGCGCCGTGTCTGCCGCGGTGAGTACGCAGACGAGGGATCTTCTCACGGGGCAGCGCGGGGACGGGACGGGGTCTGCCTAACGCCTGCCCGGCGCCTGCACTGTGCGGGGCCGCGGCTCTCGGGAAGGCGGAGCAGCCAGGTGGGCTTGGCGGGGATACCCGGTTGACCCAGGGCGCTGCGCCCGCTCGGCGGCCCTCCGCGGGTGCGGACAGGGGAGGCCTCCCCCCCCGGACTGGCGGCGGGGTCCCGGCTACAGCCGCGGGACGGGCCCCGCCGGCCGGTAGCTCTCCCACGACTCTGTTCGGAGCGCCTCTGGCTGGGGAGGGAGTATAAATCTCTCACCCACCCGCGGCTTAAGAGTACGAGTTGTGTGTACGCGGTTAAAAAGAAAAAGAGTTTTCATACGGAAAAAAAAAAAAAAAAAAGGGATAATAAATAAATAAATAAACAAGTACTTGATTGCCTGTATCCCGGTTGCCGTGCTCGCTTCCTTTGACCTCCGCGATGGCAGTAGTCCGGAGACCAGAAAGGATCCTGACGTTGTTAATGGTTAAAGTTGAGTTTTGGCACTTCTCCCGATGGAGCAGATTGAGCTACAAATTAAAATCGAAAGCATGCAAGTAGTCTGCAAGTTTTGCTAAGGGAGCTAATTTTATCGCTGAGATAATAGCTATCCGCTGTCCTTAAGTTAAAGGACTCTCTTTCCTGGTGCTCCTGGAGTGTTTGTGCTGTTCCGTGTGTACCTCTGGGTAAAGGGCAGTGACATAATAATTTGAAATGGCTCATCTTTTTGTGTCTCCTTGCTTTCTTGCATTTGCTCTAGGTTGGTCCTGTCCTGGTGAAATTTGGGAGTACAAGAAGCTCATCAGTAGGCATGGGCAGATGGATTTTTATTGTGCTTCCTGCTTATAGATGTAGGATCTTGTACTAGCATTTTAACCAGTAGAGAAAGTATGGGAAAAGTTCATATTAAAATTTTTTCTGCTATTTCAGATGAGATTAAGTTCTATAATGAATTATAATATCTATGTGGCCATGGGGATGGTATGTATACCTTGAATCAGCTGAAGAAATGCATTGAACTTGTGATGCCTGATACTATCAGCCTAGGAGCAACAGATAAGGCTCTTACTGTGGCTGCAGTAAATCACTTGGTGATGCACCTCTGACATGATTCACCCATCACTTGGCATTAAGCTGATTAAGCTGTATTCCTTTCAGGATATAATTAATTTTCATTAATTAAAGTCTTTTGAAGTAAATGATTCACATTTGCACTCAGAATTTGGTATTCCTGGAGGTATAAATACCTGTTTGTGAGATCTGTTCCCATCTTGAGCTGTGAAGTCATTGGGTAAACCATGACTGCTGGACAAAGACAGAAAACTATGTAGGGAAGAGGTGTTAATTAGAAGACAGTACGAACTTTAGAATTAGTTGTACAATTTCAGGTCTTCTGTAGTAACTCTGAAGAGGCTCTGTTTTAGAATTGTCCTTGTATGTGCAGGACAGGTTGTTTTACTAATGCCCCACCACTGGCAGTGTTCAAGGCTAAGCTGGACAGGGCTTTGAGCAACCTGGTCTAGTGGAATGTGTCCCTGCCCATGGCAGAAAGGTTGGAACTAGATGATCTTTAAGGTCCCCTCCAAATCAAACTGTTCTCTGATTCTGTGGTTAAAGATTCCTTAAAATATAATCTGGTGCTTTTAATTACATTATGAAGTTATCCTCACAGTTGATTATTTCTATGCTGTGCTGACTGCAGATTTACAGTTCCTATTCAGCACCACTGGGAAACACAAGTACACTGTGGAAGCTGAGCTCCTTGAAGTTTTGTTGCACTAGATAAACTTTCAGCTGTACATGGGTGGCCTTTCAACCAATGTAATTCTGTTGGTGTTGTCCCCAGCTCTATGCTGTTGGCCATCAGTAGCAAACACACTCAAGGTGAAGGAAACTACTGTTGGCCTGCAGCATACCAGGGGTGGGTGGTGGTTGAGGGGTTTCTTTTTGGCGGTCCTTAAGGTAGGCTGATGCCTCTGAGTAATTGTGGTGGGATGGTCTGATCGACTGTACACCTGGGCAGGACTTCTCACTTCTGCTTTTGGAGAGGTTGCAGAGCTGGCCCAGTGCTCACGTTGTCCTCAGACAAATGTGTTCCCACTGTTTGAATTTAAAGAGTAGTCGTGTTAGCAGAGGACTCCATGGTAGGCAAGGTTATATGCAATGCTACTTGAGACAGTCTAAATGGAGTGACCACTTTTCTTCTGTATAAAGTGATGCTGGTTCCCCAAAACAGCTTGTATTAGCTAGATTTTTTAAAAAAACTTGTATTTGTGAAGCCACAGTCTTGTCGTGCTCTTAATTCTTCTGTGGCCTTCATCACAGAGTCTCTGAAGCTGGAGGGCACCTTGGAGATCATCTAGTCCAATGCCCTGCTTAGAGCAGGGCCAGCTACAGCAGGCTGCTCAAGGTATGTCCATCTGGGTTTTGGATATCGTGCAAGGATGGAGACTCCTCAGCCTGTCCGGGCAACCTAGTTGGTAGTGCTCCATCCTGTCACAATAAAAAAATGTTTCTTCATATGTGCTTTGTGTTGTGCAGGGGTGACTAACTGAGACTTGAGACCATGTCTGTGAATGGAAATGTAGCAGAAGCAGCTCGTGCTTGTGTTGTTGGTGGTGATTCTGCAGTGTAACAGAATCGTCAGGCTGGCAGAGTGAAAAATTGGTTTTGTCGCTGACATATCTGTGATTAAATACATACAAGGAGATTTGGAAGGACTGCTCTCTCAGAAGCTTTGACGTAGCAAAGCCAGCCTTGAGCCAGCTACTGTCAGGATCACGTGCCTCAGTATTGGAAAGGGAGCTGCTCTCTTGCAGCTCCCACCGGTTGTAATCTGGCACTGTAAAACACATCCAGATGTGGCACTGGAAGCTCAGTGTTTTTTAAATTGACCAACTATAATTAAAATATTAATTATAGCCTGATGGGGGTTTGTACTGTTCTGTGTTCTTTTTAGGAGATTAACTTTCAAATTGTAAGGAGAATAGAGTAGAAGAAAGGGCAGTGGATTTAGATGTTCCCAGGTTTGGCTGCGAGACTGCTCCCATGAGATGGTTACAGGAGAAGCTTGTTTTGATGGATCTCTGCAGGGGCTCTTATTTCTGACACTCTTCAGGCTGCCATTTCCTTTGAAGAAAGTCCATTTCCTAACATTAGTAGTGCTTGGTTGAGAGATGACAATGCCACAGAAATCCTGGTTTCATGTTTCGGTACCTTGTCAATGCTGCTGCAGCTCAAGCCCCTGTGCTTCCTGCAACAGAGCAAGATCCTCCAGCTGTGCTTGAGCCCTGGAGCAAGTCATCTTCCACATAGGTGGGCTGGCTGCCATGTACCCCTGGGGGAATGATGCAGATGCCCTACCTGGGCTTAGCAGTCTCTCAGAGTTCCCAACCATCTCCCTTTCCGCTTTTAGTGTTGGCAAAACAGGAGCTGGGCTAGAGCTGAGAACAGGCTCTGTCCAGCGACTAGGGGAAGTCAGGCCAAAACACTGATAGAAATATGCATAATTTTTTCCACAAAGGCAGTGCTGATTCCACTAGTGCTATTTGTGCCGAGCCTCTGGTGGCAGCTGGGGATGCGCTGGTGGGAGGCCAGGAGGTTCCTGTCCCTGGGCAAGCCCTGTCTGGGGGAGTGGTGCCCTGTCCATAGCCAGGCAGAGGCAGCTCTGCTGTATCGCTCTCACGCCTTCCTCGTGTCAGGCCTCCTATTTTTAAATTGTATTTGGGACTGCAGTCTGACACACATAATTCTAGGCCTAAACAAGAAGAATAAATTGCTTTCAACTAATCTGAATAATTTTTTTGTTCCTTTTTCATTAAAAAATGTGGTTTATTGAGATGAAGAGGTACAGAACACATAAACCAAGAGCAGACAAAAAAAGCCCATAAAACCCCAAACCACTGGGGCTTTTGGCATGTGGCTGAAGAGAAGCCATATGACCGAGCCTGCATGACTGGCAGTTCTTCACTTAAGCGTGCTTTTACTAATGAAATAAATCTGCGTTGGGCACCTGCCTTCTGCAGCTATTGTGTCTAGGGCTGACAGCTGTCTTTGATGCTGAAAGACCTGTCACCTGAGGCCATTTGACATCTTTGTCCCTGAATGTCCTCAAGGGCTTGTCAATACCAGGAAGATGTCCAAAAAACCTTTACAGGTTTCAATTCAGGATGGAGATGAGGTCACTTGAATTCAGAAAATGTGTCCAGAAGGAAAGACCCAAATGACTTCCTGTAAGTTAAGCACCTGTCAGGCTTGAAGGCCTCAGAGGGGAATGGCAAATGTGTTTGGTTTTGCCTGCTGGACTACGGCAGGATACAGGAGGGTCTGAAGAAGTACAGCACTTCCCTTTATTCCTGTTGGAGTGAGGTGGCTTGGTGGGAAGAGGTATGAACCTGGGCTATCCAAGAGTGTACCCCAGAGGTCTATGAGAGCTTGGGCAGGCAGGTGGCCTTCTAGCCTGTAGGAAGGGGCACTTGCTGGGAGAGCAGTGGTTGTGGGTTTGTTTCTTCAGTCCCAACGCCTCCCCCCAGGAGAGTTTGATCAATATATATCCAGAGCAAAATGTATAGGCACATCTGGGAATGAAGGGGCAGGCTGGGTTACTCTGGGGAACGTCCTTG